TGTGTCTTCGGAAAATGGAAGACCATTAAAAAACGAAAAAAGTATATTTTTAATTTATTTTTATTTGATCTAGTTTACAAATTAATTCCAGTGCGAGTACTTTGTGGACAACTCTTTATAATCTATAGTTAATAGTCCAATACATAGTGTTTTGATATTACAATTATTCCTTTAATCTATTTATATTTTAAGCAAGAAAAGTAGAAAAATTAGTAACATGTAAATCTATACATTTTAAACATAAAAATAATGTATATCTAGCAAATAAGTATTGTAAACTAAGTTTGCGGTATAATCCCTACGTTGACCTTATGTGGAATTAACTATGACCATTCCGCGAACTTAATTTGCAATACATTATAAAGCTTGTAAGTATTATACATGTAATTCACTATTGTCACTATAAACTTATATTTACTGAACGTTTTGATTATATTTTAAAATAAAATTGAAAATATAATCAAATATTGAAAATTTAGTGCAACTTTTATATAATAATATGCCACAAAATACAAGATAATTAAACTGTAAGTTGGGTTATAATAATAATTTTAATAATTATTAAGTACAGTTTTATATCGGGTTATATAGTTCTATAAAATATGTTTACATGTTATCATTGTTATTATAAAATGCATTAATAATTATTTCCATTTGTTAATTAACTTCTGCTTACAATGATATATAATTAACATTTAGAATTTAAATCATATAAAAACATATTTAGATTATACCTTAAGAAAATCTTTTAAAGCTAGGCCAATAAAATTATAAACCATTAAAATTAATAATATAATATAACAAGCTGCCAATATCCAAAAACATTCCAAAAATAACCTTATCACTGTTTATGTGAACACATTTTTGAAAATGAATTATTAATATAAAATGTAAAACTAATAAAACTAATTAAATAAGCAATATGAATGGATCATACTTGTACAGGCTTTAAACTATTATAAAATTGTATTTATACGTATATCTTGTTTCTGTCTATTTGTTTGTTTCCATTGCACATTACTAATATTCTTATGAACATTATTCATATATTAAAAATATTTAGAGGCCTTTACAATTTTGACTCCTATTATTTTCGATAATTTTTCCAAAACTTTAAATTCTTCGAACCCTTTACTGTCGAGGTATCTATTGATTCCTCTTGATGAACATGACTATGTTCTTTCGCCTTGAGTTGTTTCTCAAATAGCTGACTAATCTCCGCCCCTTTCCACTTTAGATGCTTAAGTTGCTTGATACTTTCATCAATATCTTTGATAGTTATATCACTTTGGTTCGAATTCGAACCCGCCTTGTTCATTGCGTCCAAAATTACTTGTTTTTCTTTTGTATACTGAGTTAGTACTCGTTCAAGATTAATGATGGCGACGCTACCTTTGTCACCTTGCTTCTCTTGCTCAATGAGAAGTTTTACATAACCCTCAAATGCATCGTTAAAAGGTGTCAGGGCATTATTTTTCAGGAAACACGCAAACTTGGCCATACAGGTCGTAATTATATCATTCTCATTGCTCAACTCTTGAATTTTAAGTTCAAGTTGTTTAATTTGATTTTGTTGAGCCATATTTGCCTCATTCCTTGTACTGATACGTTCATATTTACGTTCATCCCGTACCTCCCTTTTCACAATGCGCGTATCGTATTTGATATGTAGGTGCAGTTTGTACGAGTGGCCGCACCCGAAACAATTTTCCGATCTAATCGTGTCGACATATTGCACCAATGCCATACCCCGTTCATCTACCTCCACGTGCTGATCGGGCAGTAGGTTTGTGGCCACTCTCCATTCCGCTTCACCTATATTTTCAGACTTTTGGAAAGCTTCGCAATCGCGTAGACCCTCATTGCCTATAATACCACCGTCACTTGATCTTAGATAGCATGGTGAATGACAATCTGTTTTGTAATGGGTCTTGATAGTTCCGTTAATATTCTCTTGAGTACAGCAATCCTTATCACCGCAGACAGTCTTCGGGTGATCTAATTCTATGGTTTCGATGTCCAACGAAGGTATATAGAGCTGGGCTTTGAGGGCAGTTATATCACCAGTGAAATTTTTCATTCGTTGTTTGTGTCGTTCGCACTCTTTCATGTTATCGGAGATATTTTTAGTAATGTCAGCCAATGGTTGAGTCAATAATAATATGTTCTGTTTGGCGTTATTGAGGGATAGGGTGTCCATCACCGTATGGGGTGGCAGTGATATAATTCGTCCCAGCAATCTATCGCACTCAGTTACTGACCTATTTTTAATAAAAAGCATATTAATAAATATGGTTAAAATTTAATAAAAAAAGTATATTTAAGTAGTTAAAAATCAGTTTTAAATAAAAATACAAATTTACCTAATTACAAATCATCAATTTAATAATCATCCATTTTTTAAAATTTACATATAAAGAATTGTAAGTACTTTGAAAAACTGTTTTAAGTAAAATTCAAATACTAAACAATAACTAATAAATCAAAAAAATATTGCTAGGTTTCTACAAATAAGAAAGTAGAAATTGGAACATGTTATAAAACTTACGTTTCCCAGCTAACTTCGTAATCACGCGTCATCATGCCGTCAAACACCATGTTATTAGGCGGTGCCGACGCCACTGCGAACCGAAAGGCCTCGTTGTCGAAGCAATAGATCGTACTCTTGTGATACTTTATGTCCACATACGGGGGCTTCGCTTTAATGTCGTCCAACAATTTATGTAGTGCTGGTCCAGTATCTCCCGGTGCGTATTGAGTGTTACGAGCGTTGGTAAACAGGAACAGTATGTTATCGGCGGCCGATTTATTCAAGTGACTAAACAACTGAAACAAACAATACTGAAAAACAATACTAACCCTCGCGTTGTTAGGCTTCAATAGCACGCAAATGGCATTAATTTCCTGATAATTGGATATAAAATCCAATATATTTCTCATATTGGCGTTATCCTTGTCAATGCCCTTTGTATCGGCAATGCCCGGGGTATCGATTATATTCAGCTTTACATCACCTATCTCAAATTTATAACATTTGGGATATTGTGTAACCGATTTTGTGGTATCTTGAGTAAACTCGTTTTTATCGAATTTGCCCAGTGTCACTGTCTGTTGCTCATATGTTTCCCTATCGGCTAACGTGAATGACACCGGTATCAAACAAATTGGTTTTGCTTTTGCCTGGTGCATATTGTCATAGACAATGTAGTTAACGAATGCGTTGATAAATGTGGACTTTCCCACACCCGACTCGCCCAACAATAACAAAGTTATTGTTTTATTAGTGGTCATATTTGAAAATGGTTTAATAATATTTGAGGCAGACTTTTTAATATCCATTGTTAATGGTTGCAGATTGCAAATATATTTTAATAAACGATGACATTCGGTAAACGACCTAGCATAGAGATAATTATATATTATAAATTGGTAAGGTTATCAAAGAGCTATGAACTTAAGCCTAATTATTTTATTTTATAGAGCTATTTAAGTTTGTTCACGGTACCTTTTCCAGTTTTTATCCTGGTTCACTCTGATATCGGGGCTAATGTTAACATTATTGGGTGGCGCGACAGAAATGGCGTAATTGAATGACTCGTAATTAATACAAAATATTTTATCCTTATTAAACTTGATATCAATTTTAGTTGTGCTCTTCAATTCAGCTATTAGTACTGTCACAGAGTTTCCCGGTCTGTAGGTGTTCTCGAAGAGGAACAGTATGTTATCGGTCGCCGATTTATTCAAGTGACTCACTAACCCAAGCAAACCATATTTGAAAACTACGTCAACCCTCGAGTCATCAGATTTTAAAAGCAGACAAATGGCGTTAATCTTCCGATAATTGCTTATGAAGTCCATTATAACCCTTTCATTATTCCCGTCCCTCTCTATATCCGGAGTATCGATAATATTGATTAACAAATCGTTGATTCGAAATGTATAACATTTAGGATATTCTCCTTCGCCGCCATTTGCATTGAATTTTTGATTGCCATTGTCTATTAATTTGACATTTATAGACTCCAGCGTGTCATGGTCCATTATAGTTATATCAATAGGTGAGACGCAAATTGGATGTTTACTTCCCACTCCAAAATCTGCATGATTTAAGTAATTGGCGAACGCGTTGATGAAATGCGTCTTTCCCACACCCGACTCGCCCAACAATAGGATCGTTATCTCATTGTTAGACATATCGTGTAATCCTTTAATGTCAAAGGGTAATTTTTAAAAAAAATTATTATTTGAATAATATGAGCAATAACAAATCAAATGAATATGTTCAAATTCAAAATTCAAAAGTTCTTAACTTGCAAATTGTTTTCCAATATAATCAAACAAAAACATTGTAATTATAGGATTTTTAATATTTACTCAAAAAATGAAAATAATTAATGCTAATGCTATTATGTATGTTTAAATAACTGTAAACTACTTATAATCCTAACCATATAAATCACTTCACAACAAGAGATAAAGTATTTTAAAATCATATTTATAATACAGGGCGGCCAAAATATGGCTATACTACTTTGATTTCATTTTATTTCAATACCGTCTTGTTTATTTTATCGATTTATTCGCTAAATTGTAGCTGGATAGTTAGGGTTTTGTTTGGTATATAATTTGTCCATGTCGGTATAAACCAAAATTTTATACAAGAAATATAATCTTAAACATGCAAAATTTTTATGCAATTCATACTTATATGTTCACAAGTTGAGATACATTACAGACTGTAATTCACTATT